TAGTCCATGGCCCATGTCCTGAAAGAAACTTTCTATATCTGAGGTCCTGAAAATGTAAACCGCCTTAAGGCATTTTAGCAGGGAGAGAGCCTTGAAACCACCATGACACACGGAGGGGGTTCACAGCCTTTGTGAAAGCAGACTGGACAGTCCCTGCCAGTCCACAGAAAGCAGGCTGTGCATTGTTAAACCATAGTGGGCAAAAAATGAGGGAAGAACTTCACTAAAGAACACACAAACTCTAAGGAAGGATTAAACTACACTTACAGCTAATGTATTCATAGCACTGGGGACCTATTTCAAAATAAGAGGCTGGTTTTAACTTTGTTTGCTATTTCAGAGAGGTGGTGACAGTAATGGGTGAGGACTTGCCTCCTGGGCTTGGGCAGCATCAGAGAGCATGGAGGAAGTGAGGCCGAGGCTCTGGGCGAACCTGACCACTGGGTGGTTCCCACCTTCCTGCTTCTTCACTGCCCATCCTTGCTCTTTTCTCTGATTCCGAGTGCATCTCACCTTCTCCTGGGTTAATCTCAGTGCGTCGTCTTCTCTCTCTGCCTCTGTTTCTACCTCTTCTGCCTTTTCACCTCTCTCAAGCACTAGTTTTGATAAAAAAATTCTTAACTGATCAAAAGAGAGTTAAATAGCATACTGTTTTGTGTGTTTTATTATTGAACAGTATTTTGCATTTCTGCCTCATACAAAAGCAGGCAGGTGGGTGGAATGTTTTCTGTTCATCTGGAAAACAAATATATAATGTTTTTTTTCTTTTCATATACGTGACCCTTGATTATTCCGACCACAGCTCCTTCCCAAAGTCCAGATTTTGAGAACCAGCAACAGAATGAGTCCCAGCCTAGAGCTCTGAGCCTAGAGCAACAGAGGACTTGTGGCTGGTGCCCGGTATGAGGGTGAGGGTGAGCAGCGTAATGGTAGGAGCATGCACAGGTGGGGTACTAGCTGGGGGTGTGGATGGAGACCCTGGTTAGTGGCCCAAACCCCCCGCCATAGCATCAGGATGAACACACTGCCCTGACCCTCCCCGAATGAACCACTCCCCGGGACTGAGCTCATCTGGTGTGGGGCCCCCACACCTCTGCTTCTGGCCAGCCCTGGCTCTGTTCACTTGGTCACCACCTCCCCATTCACTGACACACGGAATCTGCTAGAACAGATTCCTCCTTCGTGTCTCACTGTGATTGGAGGTGAGGGGTCTGAGCCATCTTGGTTCTCTGCTCGGGGCACAATGCCCAGTACATGATAGGTATTCAATCAACATGCACTGGAAAAAGGAAGTGGGATCCCGAAGTACAGAATCTTTCATCTCCCGTTTCAGCAGAAGGATATTAAGGTGGGCACCACTGGCCCTGGCTCTGGGGTGCCCATGCTTCTGCTCTCCCATCTGTAGGCCAGTCCCTGCATGCCCCACACACCCACATCCCACCCTCTTTCCAAGGTCCCTCCACTCATCAAGAAGCTTTCTGATTCTTCATTCCCAGTGGGAAGAATCCTGACCTCCATCTGAGCTCCCCACTACCTGGTCTGTTGTTACGTTATTTGGACTCTCTATGGCAGTTTCCACACTCCCGAGTTAGGTACATGCCAAGACTGTCACCCCATAACCCACACAGTTAGCTAGCCCCCAGGGGGTGGAGCCTCAACAATGACCAGATTAAATGAGTAAGGGAAGGCATCTCTGCCATCCCTTGGGAGGAGAAAAACCAAAACAGACAGTCCTGCGGGTTGACAGGAAGAGGATGGGGGTCAGGGGCCAGCCTCCCAGCCTGGCGAGGCAGTGCTGGCCTCTCACCCCCAGCAACAGGGGATCAAATTGTTACACTACCTTGTTGGCCACTGGGTCTCCTGGTCCATCGTCGCCTTTCCCAACACTTAGCTCTGACTGCTTGCAATTAGTATCTGAGAGGCAAGTATCTAAAAGAGTCAAGCTGTGTTATGGAGGACCCCCAGAGAAACTGCAGGGCACAGCTCCTCTCGGGGAGAGCAGCTCAAATGGCAAAATGTGGTTCCTTCACCTACTCAGCTGGGCCTTACCAAGGAAATAAGATCAAGAAAGTGGTGTTCGTCTTTAGCATTTATTTATAATTGGAAAAACTGTTTGTTTGTTTGTTTCTGAGCAAGCACAGACCACAAGCACGGCACAATCAATTGGCTATACATGAATATTTTTGTCATTTTCTTACTAACAGCAGGAATGAAATAGCACCAAGAAAGGTGTGCGCTACACATACATAGACAATCTGTGGTACGCAACAAAACCCAGGCCACAAAATCGTAATTAGATGCTTCCGGTCTGCCTTGAGAGCAAAGGCATCAAGGGAGCACCGGCAGAAAAGGAACAGCATTAAGGACCCGACGCACAGCTGCAGGGATCGGGTTTGCGGGCGAGTGAAGCAGATGGTAGGGAGGCTCCAGTCCTCGCTCTTTTGTCAGGGGGGTTCAGGGAACCACAGGGAAGTGTACAAAAACAGGCCGAACAGGTGTTTGAAGCTTGGCCGCCTTCAGAAAGGCAAGGCCGAAACACTGCTTGTGAGGCTGAAATCAGTTTCAGTCAGCATGTTTGGGATGCAGAGCAAGACCGACTGAGTTTTATTTGTAAACAGCAGAAATCAAGGAGGTTTCTTGCTAGTGAAGTGACACATTCAAGAGTCAAAGTGAACTACCAATGGATTTTTCTCAGTGGGAGGCGCTAAAAAGATGGGGAGACTAAAGACGTGAAGAGACACCCTACAGGTTATGGAAAACCTCAGGTGGGGCAGGGAGGAAGCTCGGTGCCTGGGGCTGCAAGGGGGCAGGAAACACTACAGTTTGGACAACACAAGCTTGGGTCAGACACAGAGATAAGTCCTATGCACCCTGGTGGTGCAGTGGTGGAGCCAGATTTATACACACTACCCATTATGGCTGGCCCCCTGTCAGGCACACAGGCCTTCAACAATCGAATGTTGAGGGAATGGTCCCTTGTGTGATGTAAAGTTTTGTTTACTTGATCCGCAAAGAAAACCAGATAACTATTCTATGGAGAAATTCAAACTGTGGCTAACATCAACATGTTTGATGAATAGCAGATATCAAAAGAGAACAAATGTACGTTGGCGAATTTCCTGGACAAAGTTAAGGTCATGTTGATGGAGCTCTCTGACATTGTTTAGACCAGCTAGCAAATACCTGAATCAGTACTTAGATCTATTCTAGCCCCTTCCATCGAGGCATCCAAATCTGTGATGCACAAACACTGACACTCACTCACATCTTCTACCTTCCTCAGTACTTCATCCTCACAGTTCCTTCTCTGGAACTTCTCTGGAAGTTCTCTGGAACTTCCATGGAACTGCCTTTTGGAAGATGGCAGAAAGGCCTGCCTGGCCCAGTGCTTTGTTTCTGCAGGTCCTGTCCTATTAGGAAATAGGGCCTGCATAGTGAAGACTCAATTAATTTACAAGAGACATATTAATAAGCCCGAAGGGGACAAATAAAATGGTGTAAATGGGGATTTTGCTGCTTGAACAGTCAGAATATGAGAGAGCTTGTGGAGGCTCTATTTCCTCCGACCTGAAGGACCTAAACAGACTTCTGAGGTAGGGAACTGTGAGGACTTCACTCTTCACCACTTTCAGGACAAAAGAAAAGTACTCCTGAAGAGGCTGGCGTCACACAACAGCCCAGCAATTTCAGAATGCTGGCGACAGGAAGCACCCTGCATACATGAGAAATAAAGGGTACCGAGGAACGTACACGCAATGGGGTTTGCAAACGTAATTGTTCTGGCAGGTATATGGGGTCTTTCCACGACTCCCTGACTAATGCCCACAACACAACTCAAGCACAGCCGGGGTGGCACTCCCACTCCCGGCTGCTTTGGCCACACAGACACAAGACACACAATACAGGGAGAGCTGCTTTTCTTCAGGAATGAGGTAAAAAAAAAAAAAAAAAGCTTGCTAATCACCGAGCAGGGAACGCTCCTCATCTTAGGCTAAGTCACAGAAATCTCCCAGAACCTGGAGTTCAGCACGTTCCGTCCTCTCCAAGAAACAGAGCAAGAACAGTCCAGGCAGGGACAGCAATCATTGTCACAGTAGCCGCTATGTCTGCTTCCTGCTGTGTGTTCCTCAGAAGCAAGAAAGCCACATTCTAAATACACTATCGTTACACCTTGAACTTCCTTCCTCCAGTCCCCCGTAACCAGTCACTTTGCAAAATTAGCAGCACTGGATAGGTTGGGGGTTAACAGGAAAACAGGCTCATTTCTGTCACCTTCCTATGATGTCTGGAGTGTACCTCTGACACCTAACTATTTTGCCCTGGCCTCGTTTTGGTCATCAGTGGCACATCTCTTACTCAGCATACAGTTTAAAGCCCACTGATAGGAAACTAAACGTAGTCACCTGTTTCAAGCAAAAGAGTCTATGAAAAAATTACTTAACAAACACAACTCATTTTATTGAGATTAAGGCCAAAAAACCTTTTTTTTTGGTTGTTTTTTTAAAAAATATTTCCACAAATCTTGTCAATTGCTGAAGCCCAGGTCAAGCTTCTATGGCACATAACTTTGCGAATTTTGGAAAAGAACACCTTTACCTAAGTTCAAAATTGATTACCAGCACAGACACTGGGGAAGAACAGGAGGAGGATGCCCCATATTCATGTCGAAGCATCAGGACAGTTCCTCCAGTGTCCTCCTGCCTGCCTCACCAGGCGTGCCACCCCTGCTCGGAGGGAGGCACCGCCCTGCAAGTCAGCCGCTGACGGGTCCAGGGGCCCCGTGGCATGGCCCTGGTCTAGATCTGGACAGGAGGCAAGTTGCCTGGTCTCTGAAATAGGATCCCCCTGCTCAGAGAAACCAAAGAGCTCCTAGAACACTCAGGACCCACGCAGACGGGAAGCCTCTAATCAATTTTGTGGCCTTTTTTGTTGATTAGTGAAAGAAAAAGAAAAAAAAAAGGAAAAAGAAGGGAAGAAGAAAGAGAAGTGCAGTGCATTACTCTTTAGCCTCAGCCAGCTTATTGTTCATCTCTGCGCTCTGCTCCTTGTCGGCGGCGGGCGGGGCGGTGCGCGCACCCTCCGCGCTCTTCTTCTTGGACGCCCGGCCCGACGCCCCCTGCTTGTCTTTGGCCTTCCTCGGGGGCTTATGGCTCACTGAGGTCTTTTTTGGTTTGGAGCTCTGGAGACTAGGTTTCTCCACCTGCACGGAGAGACAGACAGACCGCAAACAGAAACACAGAGGGGGCGGGATTTGGAGGGAGAATTTAGAGAGAAGATATGATTAGTGAAAGGATAACCTTAACGAAAGCACGGGACTCTGAGAAGCATGGCATGTAAAGCCCCTTTGCTGACGCCTGGTCACCTGGCATCTCTCACCTGGAGCTCCTGGTCCCCCGTTATAGCTGCCCTCTTGCTAGCCACTCTGGCTCCTGATGCAGGCTCTGGCCCCCAGGTCCCCCAGGCGCTGGACTGTATCTCTGGGCTGCTGCCCCTCCCGGCGGGGAGACTGTATCTCACTATCCTGCTCAACTCAGGCAGGCACTGGAGTGGCTGTAGTTAATGAAATGTGAGCCAAGGTGACGAGTCCCCCTCCAGACAGAAGGCCAGGAGTCGGCCCACGCTTCCCAATGTACTCGTTTCCTCTGCCAGAGAGAGGCCGCTCCTCACCCTGAGGTTCAGCCTGAAGGGGTGTGGACGCAGAGAGCTGTAGCCCACCCACGGTGGACACATGGTAATAAGAAATCAACCTTTGTTGATGGAAGACATCAAGATTCTGGGTATCTTCCATTCACAGCAAAGAGTCGGACATGACTGAGCGACTTCACTTTCACTTTCCATTCACAGCAGCAGCCAATCTTCCCTGTTTCTGAGCTCCTGTGGACAGACGTCCTCACTGAGAGGCTTGGGTGGGCAGTCTTGCCCAGTGAGGCCTTCAGCTCTGCCCAGCATCCCCTCCTCCTCCTTGGCTGGCTCCCCAGATGGTCTTCTCCAGAGCTGCTGTTCAAGCCCACTTCACTCTCCCCAAGCTTTCTCTGCTAGTTCTGCCCCCTCATTCCTAGAAGACGGCAGTGGCTTTTCTTTCTCAAGAATTCTGGGCTACTGGATATGGTCCCTCAATATGTTACCCTCCTCCCATCCATCTCTGGATTTCCTTTCCCCAATCTTCCCTCCTTCCTCCACTCAAATCTTCTTTTGTCCAGAGCCAACCCTATACCTTGGTCCCACTTCATCTGCAGAAGGGGGACAGAGATGATGCGGGGCCTCACCAGCTGGGTCATCCACTCAGTGAGATTCAGGGGCTCTCAGTCACTGTCAACCTATAAATAAGATCATCCTGGCTTGCCTAGGCCTGAGGGCTTTCATGGAATATGGAACCATTAATGTTATAACTGGAGTAGTCCAGGCAAACTGGGTTGGGTAATTCCCTTACCTGTAAACCAGTCCTGGATCAAAGAGGAAACTCCACTGGACTGCAAGACTTTAGGGCAAAGCAGAGCAAAGGCTACATAGGTTCTCAGACTTTTTCTGCTATTATAGAAAGGACAGCTGGTATTTTCATGATTCCATGTGACTTGATATCATAGAATAAGTTATGGCATGTGTGATTCCAGCCTCAACAGCAGAATCTCCAACAGGATTTTCCCCTCTCACGATTGCACATCGGGATACAAATAAAGCAAAGCATTGTTGGATGGCATCACTGACTCAATGATCATGAGTTTGAGCAAAACTCTGGGAGATGGTGATGGACAGGGAAACCTGGTGTGCTATATAGATCATGGGGTCACAAAGAGTCAGAGTGACTTAGTGACTGAACAACAACAATTGTCTTCATAGGAAAACACCTGAATCCACCGTATCTTACATAGAAATGAAAATCATTCACAAACTGTTCATCAAAGTAACAAATTACTTGGAACACTTCTTGCAGCTGATGTGACAGGTGTGTTCTGACAGACTAAGGATTGCTGCTGGATGGAGGGAAAGGATAAGAAAGAGCAGGTGATTTTCAGGGACTTGGGAGGTGAGAAACTGTAAAGTGATTGGAGCAGAGAATGAGGCAGGGGCTGGGTGGGAAAGAAGTCAGGCGAGGATGCCCCCACGTCTGGGCCAGTGCTTTAGGGGCAAAAGCACAGTTATTTTAAGACAGGGGGGTTTAGGGCTCAGGTGAGATTTTCTACCATTTCTTTCTCGGTTTCTTAAAATCAGAAGCTAATTCTCTGGAAATCTAACAGTTTTTAAGCTTTTTTCCTTTTAGGTAATGTGTGATCAGTTGCTCAGTTGTGTCCTACTCTTTACGAGCCCATGGACGGTAGCCCAGCAGGCTCCTCTGTCCATGGGACTCTCCAGGCAAGGATACTGGAGTGGATTGCCATTTCCTACTCCAGGGGATCTTCCCAGCCCAGGCATCAAACCCTTGTCTCTTGAATCTCCTGAATTGGCAGTCTCCAGAATTTACCACTGACCCACCTGGGAATCCCTGTTTTAGGTAATGTTCCTTTAGAAATTCCCTTTCGATTTAGCAAAAGTTGGGCTTCCCTTGTGGCTCAGCTGGTAAAGAATCCGCCTGCAATGTGGGAGACCTGGGTTTGACCCCTGGGTTGGGAAGATCTCCTGGATAAGGGAACAGCTACCCACTTCAGTATTCTGGCCTGGAAATCCCACAGACTGTATAGTTCATGGGGTTGCAAAGAGTTGGATAGGACTGAGCAACTTTCACTTTCCCGGTAAGAAGCCATTGTATCTCTGTGTGCTAAGAAGGAAAGAAGGGACTTTAAGGAAGCTCTAAGGACCAGACTTGGCAGTATCCCTGCCCCCATCTCTGCTACTATTAACCCCTCCATGCCAGACTGCTGATGGGTCCCCAGAAGATCTGTCTCACCTTTGGAGGTTCCTTGAAGGGCTCGCTATAGAGGCTGCGTATTCTTCTGCGATCAATGACCTTATTGTCAGCTGGGGTTGGCTTATTGGCCTCCCCTTTGAACTGGGCACTGTAGCTGGTCTCATGAGCCATCTTATCATCTGGAGGCTTGTACTGAGGCTTGGCTTTTATGGGTTTCACAGGCTTGATGTCCGTCCACGCTCTGAATTCATTCCTGCAAATCAAAGAAAAGCTAAGTGATTCGATACATCCTCTACCTGGCAGCAGGGCCTTCTCTCAGACCTGCAAGCACAGCAAGCTCTCTGTTAATGCCTGTCGTTCTGACTGATGTGTGGCGAAGAGTGAACTCTCTCTCCTCCTGCATAAATGTAAGCATTCCTTCTGGCCCAGTCGAGGTAGATTGTGGCAACAGCAGTAGTACCTCAGAGAGAGAGTGCAGGCTCCCAGCTCCCACTGCGTGACCATGGACAAGCAGTTCTAATCTTTGGGCCTCCTTTTCACAATATCTAAAATGAGGCTGAGAGAAAAAAAGATCAAAAGCTAAGATCATGGCATCCAGTCCCATCACTTCATGGCAAATAGATGGAGAAACAATGGAAACCATGACAGACTATTTTTTTGGGCTCCAAAATCACTGCAGATGGTGACTGCAGCCATGAAATTAAAAGACACTTGCTCCTTGGAAGAAAAACTGTGACAAACCTAGGCAACATATTAAAAAGCAGAGACATTACTTTGCCAACAAAGGTCTGTCTAGTCAAAGCTATGGTTTTTCCAGTAGTCATGTAGGGATGTGAGAGTTGGACAGTAAAGAAAGCTGAGCATCAAAGAATTGATGCTTTTGAAATGTGATGTTGGAGAAGACTTTTGAGAGTCCCTTGGACTGCAAGGAGATCCAACCAGTCCATCCTAAAGGAGATCAGTCCTGAATATTCATTGGAAGGACTGATGCTGAAGCTGAAACTCCAATACTTTGACCACCTGATGTGAAGAACTGATTCACTGGAAAAGACCCTGATGCTGGGAAAGATTGAAGGCAGGAGGAGAAGGGGTTAACAGAGGATGAGAGGGTTGGATGGTGTCCAAACTCAATGGACATGAGTTTGAGCAAGCTCCAGGAGTTGGTGATGTACAGGGAAGCCTGGCATGCTGCAGTCCATGGGGTTGCAAAGAGTTCGACATGACTGAGTGACTGAACTGAACTGAAAATGGGGCTGAAGACTCAATCATCAGTCATTTATGAGTTCAGCACATATGACCCAATGCTGCTGTGTGTGAGGTGAGAGAGTTGTGACTGTTACATGGACTGTGTGCCCGGTAGGTTGTGGTCAAACAAAAAATGCCAGTTCTGTTCCTTCCTTTGTTGTGATGAAGACATTTCGTAACCCTGAATCCTTAAAGTTCATTCCTCCCTGTGATAGCAGAGGGCTTGCTTTTTGTGTGCTGCCTGAAATTTAACAATCTCAATCACTGTAGATGAAAATCCTTATGAAATGTCTAAATGCCTGCAGATCATAAGCGACGTGTATTGAACACAACTGGATGTCACCATGAGGACGTGTGTTGGGATGTATGATGTATAGGAGAGTCTTGGTGGGGCTGGTGTAAATGGCGGCTGGCTCTTACCCTACGTGATCCCCATCTGCTGCTTTTCACAGTCTGTCAGTCTGCTTGCTCATAGCACTGTCTCTCCTGGTTCCTGATCTGTTACAGGACTGGTGAAGAGATGGTGACAATGTTGAAAACAGGGTAAAATTAATATCGCTGCTGATGGAGGCCACCGGGTCTGTCCTGTTTGTTGAGTGCTAGACATTGAGTGCCTAAGCTCTGTGGCTCTGAGCTTTTTATCAGGTTTCCCTTCACTGGGCCGTGAGAAGCTGTGGGAGAGGAAGAGCCAGCGCGTGACTCTCTGCCGAGTTAGGTTCTCCAGCGCCGTCTCTCATCCTCACGGTAACTCCCTCCTCCGGGCTCAGACGTGAGTGCCACCAACAAGAGGCCCCAGGGCACAGTAGAGACAGCGCTCAGACTGTGATGGAGACGCACAAATTCTAGCCCTGGCTCTACCTCTAGGTAGCTGCTGAGCAGGTTTCTCCCCTCCCTGAGTCTTAGTTTCCTCAATTGTCAAAAAAAAAAAAAAAGAAAAAAAAGACTGACTAGATGATGTCCTTACAATGTCCTTCGGACTCTGAGGGAGCTACACCCTGGTCATTTGAGCTCCTGAGGGGCACAAGCTCACATGTGAACAGAGAGACCACTGTTTCTTAAGAGACCTTCCCCAAGCTTCAGGCTCACCTTTCCAGTGTGGCTGGGACCTCCACCTAGATGCCCCCACCAACTCAAACTCAGCGTCCCTAGAACCAAATCAACTTGTCTCCCCTGCCACGTGGTCTTCTCTTCTTGGATTCCCTCACTGCTCCATCTCACTCACCCACCCGCCATTCATTCATTCATTAAACATTTACTGAGTGCTTAGGTCTGCTTAGGACGCTGAGCTCAAGGTGTGGGAGTGGGAGGGGTGGGAGGACAAGTGAGGCTCTGTGTAGGAGAAGGGGCTGGGAGCACAGGGGAGGAGCTCCTGGGCCAGGTTGGGAATTGAAGGACAGGTTCTGGAGGAAACCACAGAGGTTGGCAGGGAGCTGACGGAGAGAAGGGGTGGGTTCCAGGCAGGATGAGGAGCACACAAAGAGGCACGGCCCCCCAGGAGGATGTGTGGGAAGCTGGGGTGACAGGGCTAAAACCTGGTGGGGGCATGAGAGGCTGGGTACGTCATGAAGTTCCTGCCAGTCTTGCTGAGGGGGTGGTCTGGACTGTAACAGGGAGTTGCCAAACGAGTTCAAGGTGCATGTGGCCAGATTCCTTTTGGGGAAGAGAACTTTGGAAGCAGTGTGAATGGGGACAGAGTGGAGCGGTGGGGCTGGAGGCCAAGAGGGCTATGCAGTGAGCTGGGAGGAAAGCGGAGGCCTGAATTGGGAAGGGGGTTGCTGGGAACACAGTGCTGAGGGGATGGGCAGGACTTGAACTCCGCTGAGCTGGGGAAGGCCGGCTCAGAGAGAGATTTAGGGGTTTGTGGGATGGGGTGGGGGGGATGTTACCCAGGAGCCAGGGAATCTTGGAAGAGAGGGGGTTTAGGATTAGGGCTGAGACCCTCCTGATTCTGTTAACAGCAGCACCTACTTAGCTTCTAGAGAGCTTTTTGATCCTCTCCTCCTCCCTACACCTCTGTAGACTCAACCCATTACCACAACCTGACTTCTGAGCCATTCTGTCTCCACAGCAGGCCCAGCTCTGGCTTGGGTTGTAGCTGGGTCTCTGATCACCATTACCTGCCTGAGGTGCCAGGCCCTCCCTCCTTCTTCCCACCCTCAGTTCCAAAGCGCTGATACTTGGCCCAGGTCTCCCAGTAGCCAAAGCAATAAGAACCTGGCTACCAAAATATGATGGCAGAAACCTGGGTTCTCTGCTCCCACCCCTGCCTGCTTGCTACAGAATGAGGGCTGAGGTAGGTATACACTGGCCCTAAGCACTGTTTCTGGGTCACCTCTCCTGGGCCAGCCTTCGCAGCTTTCTCTCTGCAGTGGCTGGCAAAGGTCTCACTGTGAGCATTATCAATGGGACGTGTCCTTGAGGGGACAGCTCGGTAACCCTGGTCTTGAACAACTTTGGTACATCATCTCTATGTGGGATGTGTTAATTGAACAACTTTGGTACATCATCTCTATGTGGGATGTGTTAATGAGTCTCATACTAAGTTCACTACAGTTATGACAGGCTGATAGGTTTAAACCCAAATTTTATTACCTAGGACTTTCTTTGAACCCTCCACAAAGCCTTCCCCAGCCACATGGAACAACTAATCATATGTCATAAAAGAAGAATTATGTACCATTCACTAGTTACCTCATAAGCTGGAAGATTGTTTTTGTATACTTTCTATAATCCTTACAATGACTTTGAAAGGAGGTAGTATTATTTTCCCTTTTATGAAAGGGGGTCACCAAGGCTCAGAGAGGTTAAGTGACTTGCATAAGGCCACACAGCTGGCAAATAGCAGAGCTGATTCTCAGACCAGGTCAGTCGGGCCCCAGAGCCCACCTCCTTCCCACTGCACTTGGACAATGTGCTGGAGCTGCAGCGTGCCTGAGGCTCCTGCCTGGGTAGGGTTGGGCCTGCTGTCTGCAACACCCTGAAGGCTTATATGACACAGACTGGACAGAGAATACCTGTGCTCCTCTGGCCCTCAGATGCTCCACCCAGAGCAGTGTGGGCCATGCTCCCAGGTCAGTCACATCTAGTGTCTCTTGCCATGAGTTTCATGGTCCCCTGTAACCATCAATTCCCCTTTCTGGGCCCTCTACTGTACTGTCTGACTCTGTGGTAACCTAGCAGTCACATGATGCTTTAATTCTTTCATGATTCCATTTGTCTCTTTTGGGGGATAAGATACTTAAGAGAAATTTCAGAACAGAACTCTCCTTCAAGTCCAGTCTCATTTGCATGGCTGTAGAGTAATATTCTTTAACTTGCCCTATGGCAGACGGTAGGCAGGTTAGGGGCCTGGCTGGGTGAGGACCCCAGTCCCCACCTCCCTGCCAGGGCCCTTCCCTCCCCCTGGGCCATCATTCAGAGCCATACTCCATGTCTTTCCTATATTCTTCATAAGACTTGGCATTCAGTAGGCATTTATTAGAAACTGTTAAAGGAGTTCCTTTCTGGTCTGCTCCTGGCCCTCCTCTGAGCCCCTCTTGCCCACCCAAATGGGGCAGTGCTTGCTCCTTGGAGACAAGAGAACATTGGAGACTTCTATCCAGCGTCCATCATGCTGAAATGATGATGGCCTCATCAGCATGGCTCCTTCCCTCACCGGAGGCCCTTTCCACCAGGTACCAAGCTCTGTTATCTGTGTTTCCCTGCTGCCCTGCACAGCACAGCAAAACAACCAAGAAATATTTGGAGGATCTAAGAAAATCAAGTGTTCTGTTCTACTGCAGAGACTTGTGAAGGCTGCTTACATGTGGGGCTTCTATTATTACTTAAAGTGTTAGTTGCTCAGTTATGTCTGACTCTTTGTGATCTCATGGGTTGTATCCTGCCAGGCTCCTCTGTCCATGGGATTTCCCAGGCAAGAATGCTGGAGTGGGTTGCCATTTCCTTCTCCAGGGTATCTTCCTGACCCAGGGATCGAATCTGGGTCTCCTGCATTGCAGGCAGATTATT